CTAGCAAGCTGCTTTTCAGCAATTATGGCTGAAACTTAAACAAACCATAAAGCCGGGGCGCTGGCACTGGGTGGCTGTGCCCTGCGGCGGACGTGAGTGTGCAGAGGTGTCAGAGGACAGGGGAAGTGCTTCGTTTCCGCTTCATCCTCCACAGCCCCTCTGGTCCCTCGTGGTCACCTCCTGCCTGGCCCCCCACCCCGCTGCTCCCGGGACTCCCCATCCCTCCTCCGTGCTCTCCCGCAGCTCTTTACTTCTGGGCAGGACCTGGCAGTTGCTCGATATTTTCTCCCGGCATTTCCTGCTCGGAGGCAAGAGGCAGGGCAGGCCGGGTGGCCCTGCACCCTGACGACACCCACAGCCCCTCTCTGTCCCCAGGCGCCCGCCGGAGCCGCTGCGATGGAGCTGGGGAACATGTCGCAGCCCGTGTACGGTCCTGGCCCCGAGGCACCGGAGAGCAGCACACCGGGACTGGTGGGGATGGTGCACGGCTTCCTGCAGCTGGTGCAGCCCAACGCCCTGCCCATAGGTGGGTGCACGATGGTGGGGGGCTGGCGATGGGGTGGGGGAGCTGCTTGGTTGACCCTGAGCCCTCCTGCACTGGTGACTGTCCATTTAAATGATGGGGTTTTGGGTTGGGGGGGACCGGGAGGGAGGGAAATGGAGTGGGGTCTCTGAGGACAGCCAGCTGTGTCCCACCCGTGTCCCATCCCAACTGTGCAGTAGTCTCAGGTGGGGTCCAGGACAGGCTTCGGTGGCAGTGCCACCATGCAGAGTCCTGCCCCATCCTCCCTCCAGGTATCTTCATCCCAGGCCCCAACGAAAGGTGGAGAGCAAACCCTGCGAGTCTGTGGGCTCCTTGCCTGCCTGGCAGCCCCTCTGTGCTTGCAGGTGACAAGGCGTGCTTAGGCAGGACCCGACTTGGGGCCACCAAAAGCAGTGTGTCCCAGTGCCCGCACGGCAGCGCTGCAGGCACCCCCTGCGCACCGCTCTGCTTGCCAGCGCTCGCCCTCCCTCCTTCACCTCCGAGGGGATGCTCTGCTGGCACAGCTCTGCCCCAAAGTCAGCATGGGCGATGCCAAGACCCTGCTTGATGGCCCCAGTGCGAGGGCTGCCCACCGAGGCCGCCACTGTGGCTGCTGGCGTTTGTGCTTCCTCCTTCGCTGGGCTCAGCCCCTCCTCACCAGTGACCTGTAGGCAAATGTGTGGCTGGCAAACAACACAATGGCTTTGTGGCCTCCTTCATGTCACACAGATACCAGGGTTCAGTGGCACGGCTTGTAATCAGGCCATGGTGCACGGGCTGGGCGAGCCTTGGGACCAAAAGAGGCAGGGTGGCGGGGGGACTTTACCCCGGCTGGCAGTGCTGCAGGAGGGCAGCCCAAGGGCAGCCAAGGTGGTTGTTGGAGCATCCCCCGCCGAGCCTACCCCTGGTGCCCGCCGGGGCAAGGACCCCCTTGCTCCATGGACCCCTGAGAGCGTGGGGGCTGACAGCGCTTTTCCTGGGTGCAAAAGGGCTGTGTGACATGACGGCTGGGGAGGGCCGGCTGGAAGGGAGAAACGTGCCATGTACTCACAGCTGCTCTGAGCTGCGGTGCTGGAGGTGATGCCTGGTGCTGGGAGCCCCTCTCTGGGGTGAGCAGGACATGGGGCTCTCCTGGAGACCTGGCCAGGGCCCAGCATCTGCTCACAGCTGTCTCTGTTCCTTGTCCCCCAGAACTGATTGCAGATTTTGGGCAGGCCCAGAATGAGGAGGCCATCGGGGAGCAAGTCCAGGAGGTGAGCAGGCAGCCAGGGCAAGGAGCTGGCAGCCCCAGACCACCACGGGCTGGGAGATGCTGGTGGGTGCTGCTCCGAGGCTGAGCCCCAGCAGCAAGGGGAGATGTGCAACCCCGGCGGGGGGGACCCATCCCACCCCATGGGGGTCTGAACAGGACCCTCGGAGCTGGGGACCCTTCAGAGGCACCAGCGTTACGCTGCATCTCATTGTTCTTCTCCCAGCTGCTGCTCTACGAACTGGGCTTCCTGGTCTGCGTGGCCATCGGGCTCCTCTTCATCATCCTCGTGCCCCTGGTGGGATGGTGCTGCTGCTGCTGCCGCTGCTGCGGGACCTGCGGGGGCCGCATGTACCAGAAGCAGGGCCGGCGGATGGGCTGCCGGCGCCGGGCGCTCTGGGCCTCCGTCCTGCTGGTCTCAGCTCTCCTCCTGTGAGTCCGCTGGTTGGGAGGCTCCGGATGGGACCCGAGGGTGGGGGGAAACGCCGGCGCTTGGCGGCCGTGCCAGGAAGCTGCCATTGTTCACAGGAGCAGATCCCAGCACGGCGGGACAAAGGAGAGGAAGCAGCTGGGGTGGGGAGCTGGCCCCGGGGGGGCTGCACAATGGCGCAGGGCAGCCCCTTCCCGGCAGCTTCGCTGCGGGGAAATGTGGGCACACCAGGCACAGGGGTCCCCCCTGCCTCAGTTTCCCGTGTCCCTCCTCTCTGCTCCCTTGGGGATGTGCAGGGCGCTCGCTGGGATGCTCTGGAAGGGTGTGCTGCGGACCTTGCAGCCTGGGGTTGGGGTGGGTGGGTTGGGAGGGTCCTGGGAGGGAGCATCAGGACGGAGGTCCCCACGCGCTGACCCTGCCACCCTTCCCTTGCAGGGCTGGTGATGTCTGTGCCTTCATCAGCAACACCCGCTTCTCCCAGGCCGTGTGTGGCGCCTTCCCCAATGTCAACAACACCCTGGACAACGTCCGCACCTACCTGGCCTCCATCCCCGAGGCATGCCTGGTCCCCCCTCCCTGGCTGGGGTGCCTGACGGGGGGCAAAGAGCCCCCCTGGGGAAGGGTGACAATGGGGCTGGCGGTGGGGAAGGGTTGTGTCCCCCCCCGGCACTGACACCCCATCTCTGTCCCTGCAGCAAATCAATTTTATCATTGAAGAGAGCGATGTGCCGCTGGGCCACACCAACCGCAGCCTCCAGGGTGAGGGTGTGCGGCAGAGGGGGGGCTGAGGCACCCTGGGGGTGCCTGGGACGTGGGGGCGGCTGAGGGTGCTGCAGGTGGTTGCTGACCTTGGGGGCCACCGGGCTGGTTCTCACGGGGATGTCTAAAGGGGGTGGGTTTGGGGGCTCCTCCAGGCTCCAGCTCCTGCTTTTCTCCACTCAGGCTCCTCTCTGGGAGGGCGATACAGATGTTGGCTACATGGGATGGGGTCCCCTCTGCCCACCTTGCCTGGAGGGTGGGTGTGAGATGGGGTCCTGGGGAGGGGTCAGTGTTTTTGGCAGCTTCCCTGCAAGCCCCGGGCTGTTCAGAGCAGCCTGGTCCCTCTGTCGGGATCCCATCATTGACCACCGCCTCTCCCATCTCTGCAGACATCGGGCTCAAGCTGGGCGGCAGCATCATCTCGGGCATCAGGAACAGCACTGATGGGGCTCTGGGATCCCTCCAGAACCTCTTGCAAGGTAGTGGCCCCACCCCTGGAGGGCCAGCAGGACCTCGGAGGGGATTTGGGGGGATGCTGGGGCAGGTGCATGCCTGGGGGGGGGCTCCAGCAGGATTGGGTAAGGGCTCCAAGGAGGGAGGTCCATCTGGCCACTCCAGCCTGGGGCAAATGCTGGGATTTTGAGGGGTAGGGTGCCCCTATATTGCATTTTTGGGTGGGTTCCCAAGGATCAGCTGGGTGAGGACAACCCCCCGCCGCGCTGGCAGGACGATGCCTCGAGCCCCCGTTATCTCCCCAGGGATGGAGACGCTGGCAGCCCCCTTC